ATGTATGCGAGGGATGGCATCGATAACTTATTATCAGTGATTAATATGCAAAATGTATTGATGTACGCAATCTAGTGATTGCAATAATTTAATATCAAATGCACACTAAAATGTGTGTTGCGATGGCGTTATGGTTATGATATGTCGATCACACGATTCCCAATCCGTTGTACACTTATTAACTTATATGAGTGCGAGATCTGTAACGGAAAAGAGGTAATCATTAGCAAATATTATATGAAAATCAATAGTAATAAGAGTAAATAAAAACATTTTATACTTGAATTATTAGGATAACAAACAAACAAATAAATTAATACTCGATTAATCAATAAATAGATGACTGTTTTATATCAAAAATAAATTTACAAAAATCTTTGGCTAAAGAGATAGTAAAGAATTTTTTTCGACAAAAACTGTGCCATAAGTATGATAATGAATGAAAGAAACAAAATTCACATAAAAATAACAGCGTTTCCTAATAAGAAATAAACTTTTTATATACGGTATAGTGTATAGTGTATATACTCGTAATTAAATAAATAATACATAAATAATATTCTTACAGTTAAATATTAAAATAAACTTAATTATTTGCAAAAAGAGATTTCACGGCAAATACTTTATTCAATTACGAAACACATAATAACAATAATTTATAATTAAAACTAATAGAAATTACGAGTAAAATGCTAATAATTTAATTAATTAAAATTTAGAGGCCATTAGGTTTGCGTAACACATATGAGCGCAAAATGAGTTAATTATTTGCTAACAATAGGGAGAATATATTTTTGAATTTAAAACACATTTGTTATCAAAGTTTCTCGTAAACCATTCATAACACAAATGAGAATTTATTGACTCTATTCCTAATGTTTATATGCATTGAATAACCGTTTCATTCAATATATGGTACGATATAATGAAATGATAACCATTTCTGATTAGCTCTTACTTATGACACAGTTTACCAATTCATTGGTTATTAAAAATCAAATACACTAAACAAAAACAAAAATATCATGTTTTGTGAAATCAATTCAAATGGTTTAATGAACACAACACATGAATGTTATATTAGAGGCCATTATCTAATTGTGAATTTATTATTAAAATCTCATGTAATCAATAGGAATCGGATATTAATGTCTCAGGGTATTCAATATTGTCTAACCTTACTGTTATATAAGCTAGTAACTTATATATATTTTCGAGCAATTCTTTGAATATGCAATTAAATATTTGCAATATAGTAGAAATAATTAAAAATCACATAAAATTTTAACTGTAATATAATATTAGGCTCAGAAAATATCAAACATATATCATTATATTATTCCATAAAATATTATTTGTAAATAAAAAAGGCAATGATTGTACAGAATATTCAACATATTACTACAGCTTAGGATAAATTTGTTATTTAATTACAGATTAACATTTAATCCAAAAATTCAATTACTGAACGCTAATCGTAATAAATGTCAAACTCATAAATATAACAGAATTCATTCAAAATGATAGAAATATTTTGTAAACATTGCATAATATGTCATGAATAAATAAGCATATTTGCTAAACATAAAGAATAACAATAATGTTAACAAAATATTAGTAATATTGAGTATCTAATGGTGTGGGTTAATAGTTAACAAATACAATAATAGTATTAATAAAAAAATAATAATAAAACAAAACATAAAACAAATAATAAATACATAGAAAGACTCACGTTTTTGTCTAAACATATTCAACAAAGAATTGAACAAAAAATAGCTATTCATTGAATGAGAGAACATTAACTGTAAGTATATTCCAGAAGTCATGGGACTTAAAATAAGATCCCATTCCCCATGTGTTGCAAGTCTAGTGAGTACTCCCCTCAGACTTTCAGACTTTCAGACTTTCAAGAATTATACACTTTTGTAACTTTATTTAACTCTATACTGATATTATATAACTTTTCCCTTCAAATCAGATCAATCTTTTAGGTCTGAAATGAAACACGAAATTCTCATTTGCTTTAAGAGATAGTGTGACTGAATAGTCAATTGAGTCATATGTTGTCCATAAGAAGAAAAAACTTCAAAACTATTTTTTTTGGGAAACTCAGCGATTAATTTAATGACATCTAAATGTAATCAAATTAAATAATCGCAAACATTATCGTTAAATAAGTCCACAATATTTCTTAAATGGTATGCAATAGATATATGAATTAAAAGAACCATTTGTTTAATAAATTGTAATTTTGTTGAGAATTAGGGACAAAAACAGCAAAAGTTTGAAAAACATAATATTTTTAACTTTTAAGTAATTTTGAATTGTATCCAATTTAATTTGATTGGAATTCCTATTCTCAACGATTAATCAATGTTTGTCTAATGAAATAGTAATAACAAAAAACAAAATCAATAAATTAGAGATAAATCTTATGACTATTAAAAAGTGGGAAATGTAAATAAAATACTATTAGAAAATATTTATGAGTAAAAGAAGCAGCAAAAATATAAATTTCAAATTAGATAACAACAACAGTAATTACAAATGATATATTATTTTTGTTAACTTTACTAAAAATTACATAACATTTGAAAAAGTGTACAAAAATACTAATATGTCTTTAAATTAAAGGACAAAAAAGAAGTAAAATATTTATTTTTCGTTACAAAACTGCCAAAACCTATGAATTTATGTATTTATAATCCGCTAACATTGAGATGTATTGCATATGAATTGTCTAATTAAGGGATCACTCATTAGGGGATAAAAGTCTTTAAACAATTTTGTGTAACTTTCTATGAATAGGAAGGAAAGCATAAATAAATCAATTATATATTAATGTCATTCAATACGTAAACGAAAAAAGTACTGAATATATGACTTGAATTTCATTAAACAGTTTCGACAAAAACTACACTAAAGTTTGGCTCAAATCCAACACAACTACAGAATAAATACTAAAAAACATAATTCCAGACAAACATAAAGAAGTGGCTCTCACTCTGGGATATAATCGGAGACAATTGGTGAGAGGTCATGTTAGGCTAAATGGCTTATAGACTATCAATAAATATTTGCTGACAAATTAGAAGTGTTTTTATTTATTTAACAGATAGTTATCATGAAATAACAAATAAAATTTGCAAATAACGGAAATTATGCATTCTTTCCATAAGAATCTCAAAACTTTCCATTAACTCAAAAATAACTATAACGACACCTTTTATAAAAGGATATATTGAATGAAAAGTTTATTTTTCTTAAATTACAATTCATTCATAGGAGTAATGTGTGGAATGGGAAACAAAAATAAAACTCACGAAAATGACTACATTTGTTGAAAAACTAAAAACAATATAAATTATTAGGAATTTTGTGTTGGAGTCGTCTGAAGGATGAGGTACGGGTGGGAGGAATGGGAGGGAAAGGGATTTCCATTTTAGCCATCATTATATTGGCACCGATATGACTAATACTTCTGTATTCTCTACAACAGAATTTTGTTGCAAATTCTCGCAAAGTTTTGTTTCTCGATGTCATTTATAACATATTTTGTTTATAAATAACAATTTGCATAACATTTAAATAATGTTTGCATTGAAAAGAGTGGAGACATAAACGGATTAATGAGTAAAACATGTGATCATAAGTAAGTGGAGTGGATGTGAAGGAAATGAGAGACAAAGACATGATTTATATAATGAGTGAATGACTCTTACCTTACGTTTGGATGAGTTGTGTGCTTGTGATGAGAGTTTGTGTCCAATTGTGGCGATCCATGCGTTTTGTCTGCAGCACTGGTAGTCTATATATCTGATGATGAACTGGGTTTGTAGTGATGGTTGGCTGAGGCTGTGGTACGGGTGCAGATAAACGCCCACTCCTTTCACACTCACAATTGATGGTCAACTTGTTTCACGTATGAAAAGCAGACATTTATTACATGTAATCGACTTTTATTTGCCATCACTTCTCAAACGGTAGTTTGTCTTCACTTGAGACGATTGTCACCATAAAGACCTATAAAATGCATTTTTATTGTACTTTCTTTATCATCAACTTATCAAACGTCAACTTTTTTGATGTTTGTGTTATAACTTAAAGTGCTTTTATATAATATAAATGCCAATAAATGCTAAAAAATAATTAATTATATCTCATGTGATGTGTTGTGAAACACTTGAATCACTTATTTATGGAGTGATAGACTAATTAAAACACAGAATATTCACTCAATTCTGTCATAAACTTTAAATATTTTTATACAATAAATATTGTTACAGTAACTGTAATATTAATATCATTTTTATCATATATTGTCGCAAATATTTAGGCCTTTCTATACATTTTTATCTCTTAATTGTCTTTGATTTAAATCTCATTTTAATTGTAATTTCTGGGATAAGATATGAAAGGTATTGACTGACAATTGAGCTCATAATAAACTAGATAAACTAGGTACAATTTATTTATTAATGAACAATTGTACTGAACTTATAATCTTAAAGTATACCTAACATATAAATCTAACAATAAATATTAATTTCACAGGAATTGACAAGTTTTATAATTATAATAAAAATAAAGTATACATAAATATTTATAATACAGTACCATATTTTAATAAATGACTTGAAATATAAATAAATGTCACTGCTCAGTTACACGACTTGGGATTAGGTAATGATGTATATAATGACCAGATTAACGGACGTTTGTGTCAATTAATTACACAAATGACAAAAAGTGATTAAATTATTATTATTGTCCAAACATTAGACAAGAATTAATTAAAACAATAATTTTGCGATTAAAATGTGTTTTAAAAATTTCAAATGAAAATGAAAACTGAGTTCACATTCAATGCAATGGTTTCGCAGCTGTTTTGAAGGCATTTAAAAATGCTTTCATCAGATGTAGAGGTGTTTGCAGTAAAGCATTGATTTTTTGGCGGATATTCTGAGCCAACACTTGTGGTTAGCATTTGATTATCGATTAATTCAAACTTATTTTTAGACATTGGTTACAACTCTTTGTAAATTACATTAAAGTCACGAAAATAGGGTTTGAATGGAGAATGTGATGCAATTTTCGGCATTACTTACTAATTCCTAACTATGAGATTCTTACGGAATATTCCTTACAATTCTTTACTGAATTTCTACCACAACTCGTATTTCAATAGATGTTTAATTGAAACTCTTTTTACTATTCATGCAGTTAAGCCTTTTTCCACATTAATTGAAGTAAAATAATGATAATGCATTTCACTTTAGTTAATTACTAATTTTTCAGACTCTGTCTCTATGAATAGTTGTGATTTTATTGTACTTGAGTTATCTATAGGTTTCCGGAACTTATATTTGTACATTAAGAGTCGAAAAAAGTGAATACAGTATTTTAAAAGAAATAAAAAAACATGTCTGAAATATGGATATACTTTTTTATTTTTAATATACTTTTCCGACAAAATAACCAAAGCTTTTAAGAGATACATAAGACTCCATACAATAAACTCTATTCAATGTTCCGTTGAGTGAACATTTGACACAACAATCAATTCATTGTAAAACCTAAACCTATAATAGACTAAAACAATTGCATTTTATAATAATTAGTATAATATCAGTAAAACCCTAATAAACATATATTTATTTGATTTAAATTATAAAATAAACGATTATTTGTGTCGCCAATGGTTTAGACCTTTGCGTTCACTATTTGGACGAACTCTGGTTTGAGTGAAGCGCCGCCTACGAGGAAGCCGTCGACGTCGGCCTCCTGTGCCAACTCCTTGGCGTTGCCGCCCGTCACGGATCCGCCATAAATGATGCGCAAGTTGTCGGCCACTTCTGCCGACACATTCGTCTTCACCCACTCCCTCAGCTGTTTGTGCACCTCCTGTGCCTGGGCTGGTGTGGCCGTCACGCCGGTGCCGATGGCCCACACGGGCTCGTACGCCAACACCACACGACTCCAGTCCTTCACTTGAGCTGTCGTTCCCATAAATCAATCATTTGTTTTAATCATTAATCACATCATTGACTGAATTGAATGCAAACCAGCGATGGCTTGAGTCTGTCTGAAGTGCTGTAGGCAACAGAAAGGCCGGAGAGAGAGCCGGTTGTCAAGCGGCTATGTACGCTAGTGAAAGTTCGGGAGCAGGTTGCGCACCGGGTGGAAGAGCCGGTGGTTGACAGGTTAGTCAGTAATTTCACACCATTAGTTTGCAATCACTTTAAACAAAACATTCACTCATTTGACACGAAATCAAACGAATGAAGAGATAATGAAAGACAACAAAAAGCAAATGCATTACAGAATCAGTTTCGCCAAAGAGTGCCCTTCGCTCTGAGTGTCCCAACACTACCCAATCAATGCCGATGTCCTTAAGCATCGCGGGACTGATCTCTCCAGTGAACGCCCCCTTCGCTACTTTGTATGCGTTCTGTGCGGACACACCTACTTTCGATGGCAGGACCCGTCTCACTTCAGACAAGTAGATACTCGGAACCGCTACCACCACCTCTG